TGTCTATTCCTAAGATTAATATCACGAGGTCTGCTGTTCTCCTTTTCAGGGCATGTCAGCCCTCCCCCTTCTGGACAAAATTACTCTGAAAAAACAACCGTAAGTCATTACTTTACTTTTGTTCATGGTACGCCGCCGCAATGCTCAAATAATCCCTTCGCGTTTATCGTCTGCCTGAGACAGGCCTAGGCTCGAGACTGAACGCTTCTAAAGCCAGTTTACCAAGTACCCTGTTCTAGGTTCGTGCACTGCCTGTCGGCAGCAGCTCTGTCCTTCTTTCGGGAGTGAGTGAGTCTGCATAGGTTTGCAGCTGCAGTTAAAAACTCTCGAAGAAAGTTCATGCATCGCGGAGCCCCTCTTCTGAGGAAAGAGGTTATTGGTGATATTTACGTGTCCTAGTGTTCACCTTAGTAAAATTCGGTCAGTGGGGCACTCACTGCTCGACCAATAATTAATTTAGCTGTGTTCCGCTGTCCGTTCCGCTTGAGTCACCATTTCAACCCAATAACTTTCGCGGTCTTCCCTACGTGACTGGCACCAATGAAGGATTTTATTCGCGGTGTTCTCTCACCATACAGTAGCTGAGTTATGTCATTAAATGTAAAACGAAATGTTTACGTGTTTTAGATTAGGGAGGATTAATTAGGTTCAGTTGTAGGATCGTGTAGCATGATTTCAAAATACTTCAGTCATGAAAAGATGCCGGCCTTTAAACGAACATTCCAACCACCTACAAAACTATTCTCGTTAGAGGATAACTGCTTACATAGCATGCATTTTTTACATTGATTTTCGAATATATTTTGTAGAATGCGTGAATCAAAATAGTATTATACTAATTTGGTAGCTGATTACGTCTTCTTTACATTTTATACCCGGAAAAAGGGTATCCTTTGGTTTTAAAAATACCATATAAACTCGAGAATAATCTTGAACCCTACCTAGAGTTTCACTTGCGCATCAGATTTCTAAATGATCTGATGAATGCATATCCGTGCAAAAATCGTATATTTCTCGACAGTATTAAGGCGTTATCTAGGACTCATAAATTTTGAAACCAATATTCGCCATATTGTATACTTAGTATGGTGTATCACTAAACGGACAGCTGCGACACATTATAAACACTTAAGATTTCACAAATATTCTAATCATCACTTTTTCAACCAATAGATACCCTTGAAGTATAAGAATTGATCAAGACGTCTTTTGCTACTTAATAAAGTGTTTTTTATCTACGAGTTTCATGAAATATCCGAATTTACAACAGCACAAAAATCGATGTGGAAAATACACACTACTTGAGAAGTCATTTTATGAAACGAGTAGTTGTCACAGGCTGTTGGAAGGCTCGTTTGAGATCCAGCATCTTGTCATGGCTAAAATAATCCGAGGTCGTGCTGTAAAATAATGAGTACTTGAGAAAAAGCCGACTCGATCGTTCGGACAAGACTTTTATTCGCCTTTACAAGCGAACATGCGAGTCCGAGGAAGTAATCGAGAAGAAGACGACTCGATCGCTGGGCGAATAAAAGTATTGTCCCAGCGACCGAGTTATCTTCTCAATTACTTCCTGGCACTCGCTTGTTCGCTTGTGTTGATAGTGAGTACTACAACCTCACATATGTAATCCTTTCCGAATTTCAGTTAATATTTCATCAAATACGAATTCTTTGAAGTTCATCTTCCGTGACCCGCAATTAGGTTGACTGGAATTTGCTCTCATAATCCTCTCAAGGATAGCTACGCGGCCTAAGTAGGTCCGAAGGTCTGCCTTCACCTACTTTTTGTTGAGGGCACTTCTGACAACATTTCTCGTGCAGGTCTGGTGTGATTATAGGAATAGACGAAAAATAATCGGATGACGATTTAAATTGAAAGCAGGGTAGAAAGATACATTTATCTCATTACGAAAGCCTGAAATCTTAAACATGCTGGCTTATCTGTTAAAATTGGTAGATGGACAGTCATCGATCGGTTAAGGGACGCGCTCGTCGCACTCGGCTGTGGAGTTCACTATCGAGCTGCACAGCGGCTAGTATTTTAGGCAAAAGAACATTACCAACAAAGAATAGGGAGACTGATATGACCGTTTCTGGTTAATTAGCCGTCATCAGCCAACCCTAACCAACCCCGGATGTTGAACCATCTGGTTGCTTAAAGCTACTAAGCTGGAAACGGTCATTCCCGTCTCCCTTTTCTATCTATTTGCAATTCTCATGCTTTAAATTGCATTCGATCTTCCCACCACGACTTGCATAATGCCCTTCTTCCCCTCCTTCTCTTCCAGGTACAACAATCTACGGCATACCTTCCCCTACCTTTCGGACGCGGGTCTGCGTCTTCTCAACTTTCTTTTCATGTACGACCCCAGCAAACGGGCTCGAGCTCGGGAATGTTGTCAGAGTTCCTACTTCCGTGAGCACCCCCTGCGTAAGTCATCGTCGTTCCAACCACTCTTACCTAGGTCCTCCAAATGCCTGTTTTGTTGACAGACAGTCCTGTGTCTTCTCCTTGCAGCCTGCGAGCCGGACATGATGCCGTCCTTCCCACAGCATCGCCTCAAACGGAAAGCCTCGCCAAGCGACGAAAGTCAGCCGACAACTCTGCCACCGGTGGCCCAGGAACCCTCTTCGGGGCTCTTTGATGCTGCCTTTGATCGCATTGTAAGAGTGCGCTATTTGTTTCTTGTTTTTTTTCGACAGTCATCGCATGCCTTATACACCGCATTCAGCAATTTCCTTCAGCATGGTTGGCTCTGTTGAAAGGGCTTTAACCAGTACTCTAGACTCGTGCTTCAGAAATATCGTTTTGACATGTATAAGTTACGATGGACTGACAATTTAAATGTGACTCACACTACTACCTTCATGAGCTTATCAAACATTCTAAAAATTAGAATTTGAAAGATTCTCGAGAACCGGATCAAATACTCGGAAAGCGAGTTTGAGGCTATTAAGTTAGTTGCCGCAATATAGCAGGAATAGGATCGTTTTAGGAAGTTTTAGGGTGTTAAGAAACTTTTTTTTCTTTTGCAAAGTGTTAAACTTTGGTTTGCCCATCGTCCAACTAACGCCAGCAGTGTGATCACTTTTGGAAGTCCTGTTATGCGAAACCGCTCTATGTTGTCAAATCCAACAAAACTGTTTTAACTCTGTCTGCAAATACTACTGTAGATTACACGAATCTTGAAAAATAGCTGCATACTTGCACGTCATCATTTTCGCTCAACGTTTTTTATTCTATTTTAGGTTAAGAAAAGACGCGTATAATTCTGCACATCGTTCACTTTTATAAATAAATCTTTCTACCCCACACTTGTCTTCTGCCGTAATTTGTTCTGACCCGGTGGCCTCGCTCATCATGTTCTTCCAATCATCCGCCCTCTAAAAGTTTCAAGTAGAAACTAAAGTGCGTGTTCGTCGACTATATCGCAGTACTCTTAAACGCCTATGTGGAGGTAGACGACAACTCTGACAGAGTTGGCTTTTGACAATCGTGATACCTTCCTTGCAGAGAAACGTGGTAATCGCGGGCATGTATAACCGATGCGCGCTACCTTAGTGTAGGCTTAATGGACCCAGTCTCTACATTTTAGTAAAGATAGACGTGCGACATGTTCTCGGGAGGTGAGCTTGCGGATTTGTACCCATGATCCTGTCCCGTCATCAAGACTAAATTCGGCGACTAGAGGGGGAACTGGACGGCACAGTCCGCGAATATATGAACGTACCTGGTTACGATCAGTTTCCGAACGGTGGTTTGTTTACCATGTCTTAACGTTCAGGCTGGTGGGTATATCAATTCTCAATGATCGGATGAGCCTGCTACAGGTCCTGTCCAAACTGAAAGATCGGTACTCTCTTAGTTCCATCACTCAGACGTTCTTCTGAAATCGCAGTGCTATTTGGTAGGAGGAATGCGTGACAGTGGACTTGAAGGTGGAGATTGGGATGAACAACTATCAAGATGGACATTGAATCCCTGTTTTACTATTATTGGAACGGCAGGCGGGATTATT